GAAGGCAGAAGGACCGCCTGAGCACAACAGGTCAAGGCTATGGCGGCTATGAGTGTGCCACTGCCCTCCAGACTGGGCGACAGAGTGAGACTCCAACTTAAAAACAAACAAACTAACAAACAAACAAAAACCCTTGCAATCTGAATTTGTTAAACTCAAAATATCCCAAATCAACTCAGTACTTTTCCTCAAAACTACCCAGTTTTCCTCAATTATCTTTAAAAATAAGAAATTTGAACCCAATGTTGCAGAGGGATCAAGTTTTAGAGGCTCTGCAAGTAACTATTTGAACTGGTAGTGCTTTTTTGAGAAGCAACTAATCAGCATTCATCAAGAACATAAAAACAAGTCCCAACATTAAAGACTGTAACTTCACTTCTAGAACTTTAAAGGAATGATCTTAAATTCATAAAACACATTATAAACCCCTATATAGCATATATATAAAGTCTCAACAGTCTATATGTAAAATATATATAGTATGTAAATACTGATACATAGCATATCATTTACATGTAAATAGAAATATGGCCTTACATATATATGGTGTTAATACACATCTATACATACGTACAGAATAATAATGACAAGAAGATACAGAGTAACTAATATATATATAAGACAACACACAGTATAAGTCTGGTACCCAAACATTAGTATTACTTTCATCATAGCAAAGGAAACTGAAGCCCAATTAGATTAAATATTCTGTCTTAGGATACACAGGTAGTAAGTGGTCAAGTTTGCATTTTATGAAAAGCCACATGCCATCTAATGACTAGAAGAAGTTTTAATATTAAGAATATAAATGGGCAACCCCCTCTGGTCCCCTCCTGCTCTGGGAGCTTTTCTGTCCTCTTCATAAATCTTGCTTTCTCCAAAAAAAAAAAAGAATATAATGTTAAGAATAATAATTGATATTCACCCCGAAGAACAGCAATACCACCAACTGATAAATAAATTGTCTCCTTTGAAGCACCAATACAGTCAGTATTTTCCTCAGGCAATCTTTTTTTAATGTTTTGTACTACATTTATTCATATACTTGGCCTTATTTTCTCTGCTAAGTAAAAACTTGAAATCAGAAACTTTTTTTTGTTCACATATATATTCCTTGGAGTATTGGCACTGTGTCTAGAACACAGTAGGTCAGTAAATATTTATATGACTGGCATTAAAAGGTTAAGCAGAACAGTCTTTAAATATAGAGATTATAAGTTTTAATAAGCTTTTCCACAAATTTGTTTTTATCTAAATTTGCCAATATAATACAGCACCAAACTTTACAACTTTAGGTAACTTTCTTTTTTTTTTGAGTTGGAGTCTCACTCTGTCACCCAGACTGGAGTGCAGTGG